TAGCACTATCTAGTCAAAATAAATAATTGATTCTATGATATTGTATGATAAGCCCAACTAAACAACAAGGTATAGTTTTATGATTGATTACAAGGTCTTTTGTTACTAAACGATAAACCCGCTCCTTAAGTAAACATATCATATACAGTCACGTATATTTTGTTATTGATAACCTGACATTTACATGTTCGATACCATGTTATAACTTTAAGGTCCATAATTCAATTGTTAAGCTACGTTTAATTATATATAAATTTGAACTTTGAAGCACAAAATCGAAGGCATTACATGTGTAGGTGTTTGATATGGTAACTTACATACCTAAAATTTTATAGTTACTTCCAGCATATAAACCTCAAAATGTATAAGATGGAAAACATGATCTACTTCTACTTATATTCTTTAAACATATGTATATCTACAAAAATACTAAGAGTCTGCTAGAGCTATCTTAAATCCGGGGAGTTATGTCCATTATGAGGGTGCTTAATATAATATTATAAGGATAATATTAAATATGTTACTTAAATACTTATGTCTGCTTACTGTAAAATATTATTCAAAAGAGATGAGTTCAATAAAGCCAAGGTATACAAAAACTGAACTGAATTAATTTGAACCAAAAACTATCGAAGGAAAGTGATATATTATGACAGATAGATTTATTTATTATAATAAGCCAAATGAAAAAAAATGGTTTATTGCACTATAAATAAACTACAATTATAAAGTAGGATATTATACCATATCTACTTTTTATATGAAAATTATTGAAAGTACAAATATGCGTGGTACATATAATACTAAAATTTTTCTACGATCCTCGCTCTTAAAAAGAAAAATTGAATCATGGCAATCTTTGTTAACTATCATTTAGTTAGTGCTTTAGACGGCACCTGTTCTTCATGTTAATAAAAATATTACTTTCATCTTTGGATTAAATGTTAAAAAAATGCTTTTCTCCTTAAATATATTCATATAATTGTATATCGATCAGTCGCAAATCTACATAAGTCATTTAAATTAAAACAGCAGCATCGATTTTTTTGAGTTCAAAGCAAACCTGTTTAACTTTCTATTTACTATAATAACCTCAATAACCTTAAGCGACAAGAGAGGAGAATTTAATTAAGATTAAAAAATTCGACAAATCTAATTTTCTATATTTTCAAATGATACCAATACATAAATACTATAATGGCTTCCTAATTTCTAATCGACAATTCTGAAAAATATTAAAAAGAATTCATATTATAATGTTAAATTGATAGGTGATTTCAAATTTGAATGCCAAACGTAAACCTCGCTACCGTCAATGGCAGCATACTACGATTATGAAAATGGATTCAAAAATATTAAAGGAGAATTACTTGCAGTTTTGAGCTCCATCTAAATAACTTTATTTATGACCATCGTTACTACAATTTCCATTGAAAAGCAGTCAAAAAATTATATTTATATTTTAATTAAAATGTTAACTCAAATGTTTTAGTTTAACATTTTTGTATTATTCCATATTTATTTAAATGAGTCTCTGTTAAGTTATGCTTGTTTGAACATTTTTATTGCCCTTTTCAACTACACTGATATTTGATATGTGGATGCCCCAGAGGAGTTATTTAATAAACTACATTCTCTATTCCTTCTCAGGAATGTGCATATACTGACAACCCCATATAATTTCCTACAAAGTTATCATTTTCTTATATATTACAACGATTCAATCATTGTGCCTGACAAATATTGTATTGCAGTTAATCTATGTCCCCTCTTAAAACTCCACTTTCCTCCAAAAATTATATACGATTTATACATCGTAATTATGGAATTTCTTCAAAGAGATATAACGAATAGTCCCCTACTACTAGATTTAAATAAAGTTTGAAGCAGTAATGTTTGTATGAGAGACGTTATTATACACATCATTACTATGTATATTTTCGTGAGTGTGTAGTTGTGTGTGTGTGTGTGTGTGTTTTTGTGTGTGTGAGTGCCTGCTTATACAATTAAGTAAATTAGTTATCAATTTTGTAAGAACACCTGAAAAGCATATGTAAATAAACATTAGAAATATATAAAATATATTTGTGAAGTAATACTATATACACAATTTTTTTTGTTTTGAGTTAGGTTACTTATTTCATAATAGTTGACTACTTAATAAATTGTTATCGAAGCCAACAAGATACCTGCAGGGCAACACATAAGACATTTTAATGCCATAACAATCAATGAAGTCTCTTTGTGGGTGAAAATGTAGATAACCGCAATATTGTTTTACACCGGTGTAACAATCAACTGCAGCGCGTGTCCGAAACACATCGAACATATGATGTTTTACAATATCCTATCTTATTTTGGCAAGGTGAAGATGGGTATCATTTTTTAATGAAGATGATCAATCCAGTTACAGGTAAATAAATATTTTAAGTTTTTAATGTTTATCATAGCTTAAAGTAATTTATATAAATTTATCACAAAAATGTTTTTAGGTTTTAAAACTAACAAAAAAGTTAGTTCAATGAATTATTATTCATCCAGGCTTATGATTTGAAAAGTTGAGATCAATCACATCTTAAAATGTTGGCGTCTTTTTCACCAGTATCCTGTTGATACGTATGTCAAATTAGAAAGTGAGCAATTAATATTTATCAGGTTGAACCAGGCAAAACTCCGTTCAGAGGAATAAGAATATTAACTTCATTCAGATAAAAACGCAACAGATATTTCTTAATTATATGGCGATACGAAGTTCGCCGGGTCATTTAGTCTTGAATAATTTCGCAAGGATATTCCAGCAAACAGGTACTAGGCGTTCCCTTCTACGTTTTAAGATTTAAGCTTTGCCATAAAAGCTACTACTTCTTTACTACAGTTTAAAAGTATTGTTCTGAGGTTTTAACCTAAATCTGAATATATATGGAATTTATTTATGTAATGTATAGAAATATAAATATATAGAAATATATATATTTACTTAGCTTTTTAATTGCCTTAAAAAGATACTTGTGATTTAAATAGTACGGCCATGCTTAAAATTGTTAAAATTAAATTGAATAAAATATTTAAATAATAATTTTGTTATAATTTTAATATTGTTTAAAGTAAGATTGGACGTTCACGATTTTCTATATAAAATTAGTTTATGGTTTTTGTTGTTCAAATATAAACGATCCTCAATGTGATAACATATTATAAAATAGTTCTCGTAATTTAAAAGATTTTTCAATATTTGTAGAGCTTTATGCAGTTATTAACAGAAAAGCATAAATTGTATATTAACTTGGAAAAAATAAAATCAAATACACCGCCTTATGAGGATTGAATGATTATTAAATGTACTTGCCACTTTAGGTCTGCTTGTTTCTTTTTTAATTCAAAAATGTTCATTGATGAAAAAAAAATGTGCTCGAATATGATCAAATATTTAAAAAAAACTTCTTATATAAAAGGCCAGAAGACAATAAATATAATGACGTATGTTATTTAATCGTATTTTATTTAGAATTTTCATACATTTTATATATTTTTCTTAAGGTTTTAAGGGGTCGTACACAAATGTTGTTAGGAATTTTAAATCGACATCGTAAAAAAAGCACAAATACGTTCAGGTAGGTTAGTTGTGCAAACCTTGAAAAATGTAATCTCAAATTGATTTTTAAGACGCTGAAGTAATCGATTATTTTAAAATCGTAAAGACTTCATAGTAAACTTCTGAAGATATTTTATTTACAAAAATTTTTATGGTAAGTAGCTTTAATTTCAGCCGTTAATATAAAGTTTCGCTAGAGTAATTATTTTTACCAAATATTATTTTTTAGCCGTCAATGAATTGTTAGGTTAAATATTACAATCGAATGCTTTAAGTTTTTCTTTAAAATTTGAATTATATCTTAAACCACAATATATGATAATTCAAAAACCCACATAAATATGGTTACTCTACGGTTACTTAAACAGTTTCTTCTAATTTTTACGTGATATATGCAAGTTTTAAAATAGATTTTTTGTTAAATTTTAAATGGACAACTTTTGACATAAAACTTTCAAGCCAAACGAGAGTGCTATTAGTTTTTTTATTTTTTTTTGCGATGTATTTAACTAAAGATAAAGTTCCGGTACGAAAAGTTAGTAGCTCATACGTGCTATGATCAAAAGTTAGGAGTTTACAACATAGTTCCTCTTTGTAAATGATGTAAAGCGAACGACTATTAAGTGCTTTTAAATTGTATTAAATGATTATTTTTCAATGAATGTAAATCATATTTTGGGACTGTTTAATTCTTTTGAAATGTGATATTGAAAACAAAGGTCCTAAAAGATATACTGCAATTATTATTTGTGTGAATAAACTTACCATACAATTTGAAAACAATAAAATTTTCTTGTCATTATTATGATATTAGATTTTACATACATTTGAATAAGGTGTTGTTATATTAGCAACTAGAAGATCCGGCGAACTTCGTATCGCTCTATAATCAAGAAATATCTGTTACGTTTTTTTATTTATATTTTTGAAGTTTACCTTTAAGCCATAAATCTCCGTGTTTTGAAGTGCAACAGAATGATTGACATATTAGTTACTTGTCAAATCTAATGTCAATCAAACGGTTGTATAGAAAATAGAACAAGTAAAGAACAGAAGACTAAAAAATATAATAATGCAGTTTATCCCTATGGATCATACAGTTGAAAGTCTTTATAATTCTATAAGGTTGCCAGTATTATGATTTCCAAAGTGTATAGAATAGTATAGTAAAGTTTATAGAAGTTTATAAAAACTAAAAGGTTAAGTTTAAATTTCTTGCCCACTATATTTACTAATTATACGTAATACTAATTATACGTAATATTATAATTACATTTTTGGAGAAAATAACAACTAACACAAAAACCAATGTAAAGGAACATAATTCATTTTTTAAATCGTATGTGCGGTGTGCCTGTATCGTATAAAAATGAAGGAATACCGAAACTTTTAACGTCCATCCGACAATCTGAGAGTTTTGTTTAGAAAAGTACATAAACCTTCAGCAGTTGGATTCTATTATTTTAGGCCAAATCACCAGAAAGGGTTTTTACCCGGGATTTCTGGATGCTTAGAACACAACACCTTGCTGTCGGAGAGTTTAAAAGATGCTAGAAAAAGCGAGCGGCAAATCACTGTTTGTTGGATAGACTTGGAGAACGCGTTCGGGTCGATACAACACGAATTGATGCTATTCGCGCTTAGATGGTACAACTTTCCACCCCTAGTTAGAGATATGATCGCGTCGTATTACTCAAAATTAAGGTTTTCTATAATAACTAAAGAAGGCCCTTCAAAAAGTTTGAGTTATAATGTAGGACTGTTTCAAGGTTGTTGTCTATCTCCAATTGCGTTTAATATCGTAATTAACATCTTAGTAGACAAATTAATCTGTAACGAGAAAAAATGGGGTTATCGGTTTAAGTTTAATAATAAATACACGGAATCCATTCTAGCCTTCGCTGACGATCTCGCAATACTGACACGTAACCCCAAACACTGTCAGGTACTATTGAATGAAGTGGATAAATTCTGTGAGTGGACGGATGGATTGAGGATAAAACCCAGTAAATGTCACTGTCTGTGTCTTGGTAGGCGGAATACAAGATACACCTCATACGATCCGGGACTATCGTTAGGCGGTCAATGCATTTCTACGGTTACGGAAAATGCACCATTTAAATTTCTCGGTCGTAAGATAGATAATATAGGCCGTACTCCATCTTTAGAAGGAATAGTAGATAGCTTTTTGAACGATCTTAACAAGGTAGATAGCAAACTGATAAGTAACGTCAAAAAAGCGTGGATCTACGACAATTACTTAACTTCACGTTTGAATTGGCCTTTCCTCGTCTATGATTTTAATAAAACCCTTTTGTCAAAGTTAGATGCAGGCGTCATAAAGATGTTGAAGTTGTGGCTTGGGCTCGCTCTAACGGCTGATTCATCGGCGTTATTTAGGGGAAGCAATAGTTTTGGGATGAGTCTAAAAAGGCCATCGGAGCTCTATAAACACCTAAGAGTTTCCAAGAGATATATCCTGGGGAAATCCCATGATGACATAGTGACATCGCTCCCAAAAGATGAAGATGCCCCCGAGCTAGAGTCACGACTTCAATTCCATAAGCAATTTATGATAGGAGCGCAAAGTAACAGAGCGGGGTTAGGATCAAATAGGAAAGTCCAAGATGCGGATATATTGAAGTCTTTTATTCGGCAAGACGAGAATGATAAATATAAGATCCATGCAATGAATTTAGAAATGCAGAACGAGTGGTTAGACATAGGAGATTTTTGCATCCCATTAGCATTAAAATGGCGCACTTTAATTTATGATTGGTCGCCAGCATTGCTAAAATTCTATCTCAATGCGTTCCAGATGACTCTCCCAGATCAGAGTAATTTAGTAAGATGGGGTAAAAGTACCGAAAAAACTTGCTATATCTGTGGAAAGGCAGTTGGAACTGCTAAGCATCTGCTGGTGGGATGTAAGGTACTCCTTGACAGCGGTCAGTACTCGCGTCGTCACGATAGGGTTCTAGAAGTCATACGTGAAGCGGTTAGTCTTTCGGTAGCCAGAGCGCAAAAGGGAATAACCACAAACGAACGATCAGTAGGTTTTGTGAGAGAAGGCACTAGGGCTACAAAATCAAACGTCAAGCCTTACTCCATCCTTAAAGCGGCGTCGGATTGGACTATAATGATGGACACGTATGAAAAATAATATAAAATCCCCGAGGATATTTGTGCGTCGGCCTCCAGACCGGATATATTTTTGTTTTCGCGAATTTTAAAGCGCGTAGTGATGATAGAGCTTACGGTCCCTTGGGAAACCAACATCCCCAAAGACCATACCATCAAGGTCAACAAATATTACGAGCTCACAAACGAACTCACTCGAAATAGGTTCGTAGTAGATTTGTACGCGGTAGAGGTGGGAGCGAGAGGTATAACAGCGAAATCTCTCTATAACCTACTAAAGGACTTGGGCTTGTCCAGAACTCACATTAATGCTTTCTTGGAACGTACATCGAAGGCAGCCCTAGTAGGTTTTAAGTAATTTGGTTAGGTAGGGAGAGGAGCTTGGACAGTGGAGGTGAGCGTATAACGCGCGTTAGTTAAGGGGCCCCTTAAACCTACACTTGGGTCGCAAGTCCCAGGCACTGTTGAAGCTCCTCCCCCTGCAACGCGATGGACCCGGCACCCGCACGGTGAATCCATGGAATGCTGAGAAGTTTCGTCTTATAAAAATAAAAAAAATATATATGAAATGATTAACTCCACTGAGGTATTTCTTTGGAAAAATCTTGGTTTAACGTGCTTATTTGTAAACATATTCTAATTTCTCTAATACAGATTTTATAATTTCAAGAAGGAATTAACTTATTATGTACCTAAATACTATTTTACAATCCGGATGATTTTCTTTATTATATTCTTCAATCTTCGTCATAATTAATGAAATAAAATCAGGGCATTAATAAATTGACGGAGCATTGAGTTACAAGTGTATATTTGTATTGTTTCGTTGTACTGATATTATTCTTAAAAATATATCTGAATACATTTTTCACGCCAGGCCCATAGACACGCAGACATTCGAGCAACCAAATGGACTCTAAAAATGTTATTTTTTCCGGTATAACTAGAAAAAATTATGAATTAATTTATAAATGAATTCCTGCACTGAAAATTAATTTATAGGTATTTGAAAAATAATATTTTTAAAAAACTTCAGAAATTATTTATTATGTATAATTTCTTAAATACTAAATATCACTTATTGTTAACCACGCCCTCTAATGCAACAGTATTTCATTTATTCTTAGGCGGCTATAATACTCTTGCCTTTGAGATCATTACATAGTTTCATATAAACATAATAGGTGTCACTCATATTAATTTTCAAGCTAATTGAAATAATAATAAATAGACATTCCTATGAAAGATGTTAAGTGTAAAATAAAAGTAAAATTTAAATAGGTTGTGTTTTATGTTTTTCATTTCAGTTCTGCTACTGCCCGCTAGGTGGAGCGGTGTTTAAAAACGTAAGGCCTGATCCTCACTATAGACTATAGAGCCGTTCACTGTTCGATCTCGGTCCAATATCGGTTTGATAAAATATTATATAGTAAAAAATATATGTGTGCATTCATACTATCCGTGACAGTTCGCTCCAGTCCCAGACCAATAACGATCAGGTACGATTTACGAACAAATTTTGTTTGAGCGAGATCGAACTTGTCGTGACATGTACCGATGGTGTAAATATTTTTAGTTATTATCTGCTAAAGCGATAAGTACATCAAATGCAATTGACTTCAATACTTTAAGTTTATTTTATTTTTAATTAAAATTTATTTGTATTATATTGTAGCTCTCTTGATAGTATTATTTTCTTCATCAAGAAGAAGAGCTATCATCGATAATTCTTCAATATAAAAGTTAAATTAAATATTTTCACTGCTAATAAAAAAAATTCCAATTATTAATTATCTACGAGTCGGATACCAAGCATCCGACTATTATTATTTCATTTTTTATTGATTATTGACAATTCCAGACTGAATCGTGAACTGATTCGGATTTTATATTGTCAACATGATACAACTTTACCAAACCGAAATCGGATTGAGAACGAACAGCTATAGCCAGGGTCTGGCTTCATGTTGTGAATAGTTTTGGCTAATTGTTTTTACGACCCGCCGCCTGTCTTACATCAACCCTCTTTGGCAATCAACATTAATCAGTGATGTCTAAACACTCTTAGATAGTACATATGACTTAGAAAAATGACATTGGTACTTGCCCGGGCCAGTATCGAACCCGCGCCCGCAAGCTTGAGAGGCGGGCCTCTTAACCACTAGGCCACCACTGACTTTTTAAGCATGTATAGGAGGATAGCTAAGGATAACGGCAGTTTAATTTAATAATTTTAATACAATATTGCTTATTTTCACCATTATTAAATTTCTATAATAAAATTGTCTCTGACCTTTATGTCATAATAAAAGGAATAAATAATATTCCTCCAATTATAGGGTAAGTTACTCTAAAAGAGATACCTACATTTTTTTAGATAAATTGATCAAATTGAGTAAGAAAACCGATATTTCCTATATTTTTTGCAATACAATACAATAACTTGGTTTAAAATTCGTTTTTATTAAAATAAAAGTGACTTTCTAAGTTGTTTCCTGTTATAGAATTAGTTACGAAAAACATTATTCGACTTAATAAAGGTTTCGTCAATTTACCAATTCATATTTACAAAATCTATTACTTCATATACATAAACAACAAATGCTTTAAAAATAAAATCTTTGGGAACATTTCATGTTCAATAGTTATAACTATGTATATGTCATATACATATGTTTATAAAATTAAATATATAATATACAATGACATATCGCTTTATATGATCCATATGATTATTATTACATTTCCGTATTGATATATATTTACAAGTAAATTTTCTGTATTACCATCCTTTAATCTAACGCCGCCATAGCTGTTGCAGCGCCGCCTCCTCGCCTGCACCAATGCGCGCGCGCAGCTATAATAACATGCAAAATTACCCTCAAACCCGTCCGCAAATTATAGCTTGCACTCGTAAATACATAAACTATTTACTTTTTACTGTTATAGGCGAGTAGGACTGTATTGCGTTCGGAGCTGCATTCACTCTGAGGGAGATTCAAGTGTCGAAAAAAAAATGGGAGTGAGAAATATATTTTTAAGGAAATTTTGTTCCTTAATTTGTCGTAAAATCTGCAACAATAAGTGCTCTTAATATCATACATATATGTGTTAAACCACAACGTTCGTAGTGACATTTTTCGAACTGACATTTCTTCAATGGACTTGGACAGAAAAAAAAAGGTAAAAAGTAAATCATTAAATTCATTAGTACACTTCTATTGCCCGTAGCAAATTGCTTCGTAATTTTGTATCCAAATGACATGTATCGGGAGTCGGAATGTCATTTTGTAAATTACTGAGGTTTATTACCAGATGTAATTGCTTGGGTCACGAAGACGTTGGAATCCCAGTCCTGTGATCGCTAACAAGTATGCGTAAGATTAATGTATTTTATTTATTTTATCAATATATTGTTCAATTAGTATTCTCATTACAAGAATACACATTGACGTATAGGGGAGAGTTGGTTATATCGTACTAGCATTTAAATCGTACCACTTCTAAATATCCCATTTAATGAATATTTTTTTCTACACTGACAACGCCAAATCGTGGCCCTGTACCATCCCTCTTCACCCACTAGTTTAAATCGACGTGAGTTAACAACTGTGCAAGTAATAAAAGAAAAACATTTTTTGTAGGAATTAATATAAATATTGTCGTACATTCGTAAGGAGATAACTCGTAATCAAGGTAAGCTATAGTTATTCATTTTTTTTTATTATTCCACAATTGTATACTAGATTATTGGGGGATTTTGTTGCGTGTCTAAGTTTTGAGTTTATGCCAGATATTTGCTTTTGTTTTAGAAATGCCTTAGTTGGTTTAATCGTACCACTTGCACTTGGTTAAATTGTACTGGTACGATTTACCCGACTACCAACTGCAAATACCTATAGTACTACTACAAGTACGTATAGTAAGTACTACCCAAGGCCAAGAACAAAAGTTATAAGAGGAAACGATCTCATTCCATCACCAGGAGCGATGATTCAGGAGAGACACTTGTTGTAGAACTAGATGATGATGATGACAGCGATGATTACCTTGAAAATATATGTCGAAAGTGCAATTGTTCTTACTACGATAAGAAGGGTCCAAAAGTTGATTGAATTCAATGCGTTCGCTGTAAACGGTGGCTACATGAGAGATGTACTTCGAATCCAGACATTTGTGACGATAATTTCCATTAAAAAATATGCACAATAATTATATTACAAATAACATTCTTGTTAACTGTTACTTTATTATTATAGTTTACTGTTTTTTTTTCTCTCATTTTTATTAGTTATGTTGATTGACCTCATTATGATAGTATAATCATGTTATTTTACTGAGAAAGCTTATAGTTCCTTTATATAACCTAAGAGTTAAAAATTATGTTTCTATTACCTAAAAGATATAAATAATGTTGTTTTATTACTTACCTAACAGTTAAAAATAAATAATTTTATAGTGAATTTTAATGTCTTTCATTCAGTGGTACGACTTAAACACCCATGGTACGATTTAAAGACTTAGTGGTACGATTAAAACGACTAGTCGGCTAAATCGTACCGATGGCAAGCCTCTATAAAAAAGAATTTTTAACAATGTTAGAATAATCGCAAGGATCTGTTCTCTTCTTCTTAGGAAGCTTAAATATGAAACTTTAATTTACATATGTATTAATTATTATAAGACGTGATATAGTCGAAATATTTGAGTTAAAGTGAAAAGTCGTACGATATATCCGACTCTCCCCTATATGTTCATTTTTCATTTTTATTCTTGATAATGAAACATTTACGTGAGATCTAATAACATAAAGTTAATTTCATTAAATGAATAAAAAATATTTTTACCAGTAAACTGTGTCTTTAGTTAGTACTAAGTTAGTACTGAGCATGTGAATCCTCACGTGCTCAATGAGGGCTGGACAGACAGACGATTGCTGTTATTGATCTTGTTACAGGTACGGAACATACATAGGATAGATGTTAGAGTTCCTTTGTTATGAAAAAAAAGATTGATATCAAT